AATAAAAATAAAAATAAAAATAAAAATAAAAATAAAGAATAAAAAATAAAAAATAAAAAATAAAAAATAAAAAATAAAAAGGCTTTTCAAGATAAATATAAAAAATATAATGCAACAGTTTTTTATTTTTCTTGTAAAAAAAATACAAGGTAATATAACAAGTATTTATTGCAAAACAATAAAACAAAAGGCATAAAAAACTAAAATGTACTCTGGTAGTAACATTTTTTTATTTTTCTTGTAAAAAAAATAAAATGTAGTACAACAAGCAAAAAAAAAATGTAGTACAATGTCTTCTTCTTTTGTCAAAAAAAGAAGAAGATAATCAACAAGTATCATATTTTTTTTGTAAAAAAAAAAAAGATAACACAATAAGTATTTCTATTCAAAAAAATAAAAGGTATTTTTTAATACAGCCTAGGAATAAATGGTCTAATTATATTTTTTATTTTTATAACGTGATGGTCTTTAACATACATTTAGTAATATTAATTTAAAGATAGGATTCATACAATGAGGCCATTTGAAATCTCCCTTTCTGCTAACAATCTTTTCTACTAATTTATTCTAGAAACCTTAAAAATTAAAGAAAATTGGTACGCATTCTTATAATTTCTACATTGATAACCAAATCTTTTCTTTTATTTATTAATTTTTGTATTATAAATCATGTAGTGTACTATTTTTCTTACAGTTGTCAATAATACATTTTAAATTAGATATATGATTTCTTTTGTGTGATGTAAATTTAATGGTCAACATAAGTTCATACAGGAAAAGAACATCTCAATATTCATAAATTGATGAAAACAATGAAAGTTAATAATGTAGTACCCCCATTTCTAATTGGATTCCTAAAAAACAACATTTATAATAAATTTTAATAATTTTTTTGAATTTTTTTAAGGCTTAATCTTAGTGATTCGGCCCGATTCCCGATGCGGATCTCGGATTCGTCGATCCGGATCGGTTTTTGAGATGCTTGATCCGGGGCACCGATCGATTTTTTAAACCACTAGTTTTAACCAACATATTTATATTATCAATTTCTCACAAATTTCGCCAAGTGTGAGATTGTTTGAGCTAGTCTCTCTATCTATGGGGATGTTTGTTATGTGCATGTTTTACAGGGGTGAGAAGCAGAGATTGGAAGCATGGTCTCGTCCTGTAATTGTGAAGGGTCCCCTGGGGATCGTCTCAGCCATGGAGCTTGCCTGTCTCTTGATGTTTGTGGCTCTCCTCGTCTACTCCTTCTCCACCTACTTGAGCATCAGTTTCTCAAAGCTAAAACCAGGCCAAAACCCCATGTAAAAAATCAACCCCATGGTGCTTTTTTACATAACCACACCTCTGTCTCTCGCTCTTACTGTTTTTTTTTTTGGGATGAAAAGGTGGCAAGCGAAGCTGAGCAGCGTGGCGCTGAGGTTTGGTTTGGTTGGGAATGTGTGTGCGGCGTTTCTCTTCATCCCTGTGGCGAGAGGTTCAGTGTTGTTGCAGGTTCTGGGTATCGGTAATGAGGCAGGAGTGAAGTATCACATTTGGTTGGGACACATAACCATGACTTTGTTCACGGCACATGGTCTTTCCTATTCTATCCTTTTTGCTGCAGGACACAAGTTAGAGCTTGTAAGTGTATCCCTTCTCTCTCTCTCTCTCTCTCACAGTGTTCCACTACTTCGGCGAGTCGCTCGGACTCACTGGAGTATCCCGAGTTGAGTGTTCAATAATGGAGGTTTAAAAAAAAAATTCAAAAAATTTATAAAAAATTAAAATATAAAGAAAAAAAACAAATCTATTTGTAACATGTTTTTTGTGTTCTATTTTGACAAAGATCGAAAAATATTTTGATATCAATACTTATTTTTACATTTTTATTCTTTTTGCATTATTTCAAAAATACCCATGGCTACAAATTGATTTTTTTCGAAATCCATTTTCCAAATATTTTTTTGTTTAAATTTACTTTAAACATTTTTTTTTAAGATGTTATTTGTATTTTTTTAACTTTTTATTTTTATTTTTTTAATGTTATTGGCCCAACTTGGACCGAGTACTCAGCACGGACATGGTGGAGTACTCGGCTCTTCTACCGTTTTTTTAACGACCTCTCTCATTAAATATTTCTATAACGCATGCCTTGGATCACTCTTCTACCGTTTTTTTAACGACCTCTCTCATTAAATATTTCTAGAACACATGCCTTGGATCACTCTTCTACCGTTTTTTTAACGACCTCTCTCATTAAATATTTCTGTAACACATGCCTTGGATCACTCTTCTACCGTTTTTTTGACGACCTCTCTCATTAAATATTTGTATAACGCATGCCTTGGATCACTGCAACATAGTCTACGAGTAAACACTCTTGACCTTTTAAGTAGATCCCACTCTCCCTCTAAAAAATTATGCTTGACCTCTCTCTTATACCTTTTGACCTGCCTCTCCCCCCTATCTCTCTCTCCAATCTTCCATGAATTACGCTTCTCTCTTTTCGTACATCCCTGTCTTTTTCTTCTTTTTTTTTTTTTGGGAAAGGTTTTTATAATTTTCCTACCGTATTGAAGATATATACATCACCTACAATCCAGCCATCCAATTTTGATCACGTTAGCCACTCACCGTTTGATTTTAGTTCTGTATTTTATTTGTAATTTTTGTATATGAAATTCGGGGCACACCTACAAAACAATAATAAAAATAATTTATCGATAAAATATAATAACCAAATACCCATAAAAGATTTTAAGGGTATTTTAGTTATTTTATTTTATTTAAAATATTTATTTTATATTTTTTACGAGTGCCAATTTAATAGAGGATTGGACGGAAAAAATTTGGTGTAGTGAAAAAATTAAAAATAAAATAATGTAGTGACGTGACATTGTGATTAGACATTTTTTAGCCCTCCATTGAGAATGGGCAGTCGGACAAGCGGAAGTATATAAGTTTTTATGCTGTAGGGGAAGCATAAAAATCTTACCATTTATTTTATTTTATTTATTTATTTAATTTGTTTAACATTAACCATGAACTGCATCCTTTTCTATTGGGCAAACTTTCTATGCTTTCCCTACATAAAACTTATAAGCTTCCCCCTATCCAACCGTCTCTTCTGAATAGACGGTTGAGATGGCCTCAATCACAATCTCTGTATTATTTTATTTTTAATTCATTTTACAAACTATTTTGATGCCAAATTTTGGGCGTCCACTCCTCTCTTAAAGTTGCACCTGTAAAAATATAAAAACAATATTCTCAATAACATAAAATGACCAAAATACCCCTAAAAATTTCAAATGGTATTTTGGTGATTGTATTTTATATAAAAAAAATTAATATATTTTTTAAGTTTGCCCTATTGATAACATAGCACGTACTAAATTTCATAATCATATAATTTATAAAAAAAATTAAAAATAAAATACTTTCAGACATTAGATCTAGATCAAACTATCAATTACTCACTTGGTCTAAATTGAAATGCTGGATGGGGGAAGGAAATATCTACCTTTCGCATTTCTCTTTCCTTATGGATGTTTCTTGGGTTTTTACGACTTCGCTAAGGTTGGTAAATTTAGGTGTTTCAAAATCTGTGGATTTAGATTAGTCAAAATTGATGATCGTGACTTAATAAATATGCTAAAGTAAAAAATAAAAAAAATGAAATAGGGGTTTAGGTCGGGGGTTAAGAAGGACCTAAAAAAATATTAGATAAGCTGAAAGGAGAAAATATATATATATAAAAAGGTGTTTTATGGGGAACCGATTTGGTCCTAGTCGATTCCCAGACCGGGTCGACTGCGAGGTTTTGAAAAACTGGCAAAACCTTTTCAAGTTGGACACGCCCTAAATAAGCCAATCTCCAACCTTTTTGGCCCCAAGCGAGCCCAACTTGAAGGCATTTCTCATTGAAATTCCTCTGAATACATCCAGCTTATGGACCATTTAACATCTCACTCATTTTCGACTCTTCTAACTCATGATTACATCGTATTTTGATGGGCTTGTTGAAATTAAATCAAAATAAATATTTAAGATATTAAATAATTTATCTATTTGGTGCATTTTTTAAATCAAACCATGGGCAAGTATTACCCATAAAGATTTGCATTAAAAAGCCCACTGTGATTACTTGTTGGATGGCAAATTCAATGGGCACAAGCGGTGTTCGTAATATTGAACCGACCTAAAAAACTGGCCAGGGGTGGGTCCGAGTAATCGATAAATTGGCTAGGTCAACTGACCTAACTGAGGAAGGTCCTGACCAGTCCAAAAAATATTTAAAAAATTAAAAAATACAAAACAAAATTATGAAAAGTATAATTACATATGATTAAATAAAACACATTCAAATGAAGTAAAAGTAGTGAAAAAAAAAAAAAAGATTTTAAAAAATCAATTTGTACCCACGTGTATTTTCAAAGTGTTCTAAAAAAAAGTGGAATTATGCAAAAATAAGTATTCATGGCCAAAACTCTTTCTAGTCTTGTTCTATAAAATGAAAAACTGGGCAATAGTTTATATCATTAAATCGCAGTATTGACGGTTCCTTTCCTTGTAAAAGTTTGTGTTTGTTTGATGGATATCTCCCCCTCGAAAGTTCGAAGACTTGAAAATTATTCTGTAAAATGAGGATAGAGTTTATGGTACATGCAGTTGGGGGACTGGGAAAAGACTGGCGTGTCGATTGTGGCCGGAGTGGTTGCTCTTTCGGCCGGAATAGTTATGTGGGTCACTACTTTAAAGCAGATAAGAGAGAGGATGTTTGAGCTATTCTATTATGCTCACCATCTCTACTTTGTCTTCATCCTCTTTTATGTTCTTCACGTTGGTGCCTTCTTCTTCACCATGATTCTCCCTGGAGTCTACCTCTTCCTCATCGATCGCTTCCTTCGATTCCTTCAATCTCGCAGAAAGGTCAGGCTCATTTCTTCCCGGATTTTACCTTGCGAAACCGTGGAGCTCACCTTCACTAAGCAGCCGGGTGAGTGTGATGGTGCTTCATCATTTTAACTATCATAAACAGAGTCTCTCTTAACTCTTTCTTCTGTCCACTCTCCATATCTCTTTATGTTGTCTTTCCCTCTAACACTTTCTCTCTCTTTCAATCTAAAACGATCTGAACACTCTTGAGATTGTGTTTAGGTCTGAAGTATAATCCCTTGAGCATGGTGTTTGTGAACGTGCCTAGCATCTCCAGTTTGCAATGGCACCCCTTCACTGTGACTTCCAACTCAAAGATGGAGGTCGATAAGCTCAGTGTTGTCGTAAAGAGCGAAGGAAGTTGGTCTCGTCGCCTCTTCGACACGGTCTCCATGGCCCCTGCCCTTGAGCACCTTGATGTGCACATTGAAGGTCCCTATGGGCCTTCCTCTTGCCACTTCTTAAGGTATGTTGCTTGAAGTGCTACTGTCTATGTCTGTCTGCCACTAAGTAAAAGCCCAACAGACTATTTGTCTAGAAAGACTAAATTAGGCAAATGTTACCAAAAATCCCTAAATTGAAAAATTTTCCATCAAAATGGTGCAGGCACGATGCACTGGTCCTGATCAGTGGAGGGAGTGGCATAACGCCATTCATGTCGGTGGTGCGCGAGCTGGTTGTGATGTCAGGCACTCTGGGTTCCCCTGTACCCAGCATCCTCATGATTTGTGCCTTCAGGAATTCAGATGGCCTCTCCATGCTTGACGTCCTCCTCCCTCCGTCGAGCCCGAGCATCTCCGGCCTTGATTTACGCATCGAGGCTTTTATAACCCGAGGAAAACCAGAGTCAGAAGGAAATGACAGGAAAGACAAGCTCCTTAGAGCTGTGTGGTTCAAACCAAGCCGGAGTGAGGCCCCTGTTTCGGCAATCCTGGGTCCTACTAAGAGTTGGTTATGGATGGGGGCTATCATATCTTCATCTTTTGTAATGTTTTTGCTTCTTCTTGGCATAACCGAGCGCTATTATGTCTACCCAATTGACCACAACACCGGCGATGTGTATCCGACAGGGGCTCATGCGATGCTTAATGTGTTGTTTGTGTGTGTGAGCATAGCTACCATGGCCACGCTTGCGGTCATGTGGAATAGAAGGCATAGTCCCATGGAGATGAAACAAATTCAGAACTTGGAGTTGCCGACACCGACGACGTCCCCGAGTGCCTGGTCGTACAATGCAGACCGCGAGCTCGAGAGTCTCCCGCAACAGTCGCTCTTACAGGCCACAAATATCCATATCGGTGCTAGGCCCGATCTCACAAGTACATACTCTCTCTCAATCTCTTAAGCTTGCCACAACCAAGAAAATCAATGAAGTGAACACCAAAACCACTTTTTTTTTCTTTTACGTGTAGCCTCAAATATATCAAAAGAAGGGAAAATAACTAGAACCCCCCAGGTTGGATACTCTCATTACAGTCTCCATTGTTGATGTCTTTCTCACCCATTGCAGGAAAATATTTTATTTTTTCCTCACATACCCTTATGGTATTTTTTAGTAATATTTGTAACAAAAATACTCTTGTTAATGTCTCCTGTAAAAGTCAAAATAAACATTTATATTTCTCTCCCTTTCCTTTTTTTTCTATCGCCCACCTTTCATTCATATTTCACTCTCTTTCTCTCTCTAAAAACATAAATAGGTTTGTTGGTTTCTCTCTCTAAAGTTTTTTCATAGTTTGTCGGTATCTCCTTAAAAATATGAATAAATCTGTTGGTTTCCCTCTCTAAAAATATAAACGGGTTTGTTGGTTTCTCTCTTTCTTTCCTGTTTTTTCTCTCTAAGTAGATCCCAAACCTAGAGACACACTGATACATTTACATTTTTAGAGAGATATGAATGTGAACGGGAATGTAAGCATACAGAGAAAAAACAGAGAGAAATAAAGGTATTTTTGTCATAATAAAGCTGAAAAGCACCCTCGGTGTCGATGAAAAAAAGAAAAAAAAATGTTGGGTAATGGGTGAGAGAGAGACTTTGTCAAACAGAAAGGCTTTATGATGAGAACATCCAAGCGGGGTTGGCAAAATTGCTTTCTTGAGAGAGTTGGTTTATGACATGCAGAGATGTTGGAGTCATATGGAGAGGCGAGCGATGGATCAAGTATTGGAGTGATGGTATGCGGCCCAGATTCAATGCGTGATGAAGCAGCAGCATTTTGTTCATCTGCCTTGGCCTACAATTTCCACTTTGAGTCCCTCAACTTCACCTTCTAACTCCAAAGCATGGATGCATCAAAGATGAAGATGACGATGGAAACCTGCATCAAAGATCAAAATGCCTTTCGGACCAATCGATCCATAAAAGATGAAGATGGAAACCTGCATTTGTTTAAGAGTGGGAATTTTTGGTGTATAATTGTGACAAAAAGAAAAAGACAAACAAGTAGAGTAAATGCTTGTATTGAGTGTGGGCCTCTTTCGGGTTTGGATACGAGTAAGAAGTATGGCACGTGTGTATTGCAATAAGCATGTTTCTGTATAAATTGTGAAATTTAGTTGTTCTCTACCACAAGGGTGTATTTTGAAACAATAAAGAATCAGTAGTTGATCTTAGCAATGCTACAAGTCACATTTAATGTCTATTGATGGGCTACCCAAAACCACAAAAAAGGAAAAAGAAAAGAAAAGAGAGCGTGGGTTCATTACAAAGGGCAGTACGCCTCATTAGAAGCATTTTAATAAAGGTGCGGTTTGTATAGAGCCGTGGTTCTAAACAATCAAAGTACATTGTACTTTCAAATAGTATCGAGAAATATGGTATCAATACTGAAAATCTTTGTGATAGCTTTAAAATATATTTTAATTTTTAATTATAAAATTCAAACCTTAAAAAATAGTGTAGATAGAGCAGATCTATAGAAACTTGAAAATTTTGAAAATTGACGGATCAAAAATGCGTTACGAGATATACTATTTTTAAAACTTGAAATCCATTTTTTTTTCTCATATTCATGCATTTTGATGTCGAGATATAATCAATTTGAAGATATTTGGTTATCAAAACAACCTCTTCTAGTGAAGTTTTTGGGTTGGGCTCTAATTTGATTGTTTAGAGCTTCGGTTCTATATAAACTTTTTCCTTTCAATAAAGAGGGAAAGTTCATATATATTTAAGTTGTAGTTTGGACTTTGAATGGGTGCAGGAAAGGTTGAGCTCGTCTTTGTACCAAGCACTCCATACTATTTGGCAAAAGACATATACCTCCCTCTATGTAATTATAATCCCAAATAAGCTCTCATGTTCATGAAAAGTCTATAGACGGCCTTTAAACCAAAGAAAGAAACGAAGATGTTGAACTTTTTTTACATCTTTTTCTTTGTCTAAATTACAATGTTTATCCTTTTTATTTTCTAATGATCCTGACATCCAAACCCTACAAAAGCGCTCCTCTCTCTCTCTCCCTCACCATTCTCACCATTGTCTTGTAATAATGGGATAACCTAATTACCCTTTTTGAGAGAACATAATATTTTCAAATCTCACTAGATGTAATGAGCCTTACACCACAATGATTTCAACACTCAACTAACGTATCCAAAATACAATAATAAGTGTAATATAATTGAGAAAAATATAAAAACAATAAAACAAGCAATATGAAAAAACTTCAAAGCACAACACAAGTGAAAGTAGAGAGGGACACGCACATATACATGGTTCACCCAAGATGGGCTACATCCACAAGCAAGACAACAAAAATGTATTAACTATCAAGAGGAAAACTTACAAGATTGGGGTTATATAGAGTTACTTCATACAATCTCAAAGAAAAGCTCAAACAAAAGAACTTTCTATCACGAAATCACCTACAATCGACTTCTTTTTTCTATTCATCGATGTCGCGAAGAAATGCTAACAAAATGGCTCAATTTGAACCCAAATGACCTCAAAATTTTCTCCCCAACGTTATCTCCACGAATTTCACTTTCTTTCACTCTCCTTTCCACCCAACTTAATGAGCTATAAAGCCTTATGAGAAAGAACATTTTCATTATGATTAAAATAACCCTCGTCAAAATAAAAATACCATGGGGTTGTGATTTGGCATCACATCCCAACACATTGAACCCCTTCCTCCCCCTCCCTTTCGCTCAACCTCCCTTGGAACCCTACACTCACATCTTATAAACCCGACAAATAGGTCAAAATAGGCATCTCAAATTTTATTTATATAATAAAATTATTAGAAGCGCTAAATATTGCAATTTAGATAATAAAAAATAGATATTGGGTTAAACACCTTTTCTTTCAACTTTTAGGGGGTTTATAGTCTTTTCTGAACCCGAAGTTTATTTGAAATTACAATTATAAAAACGTTTTAGGGGGTTCATGGTCTTTTTTGAACCCGAGGTTTATTTGAAATTACAATTATAAAAACGGTGGTAAACATTTTCTTCCCTAATGTTTTTTATTGTGTTGGAACGCTTCATAATTTTTGTATGGGAAAGGAAGAACTCTCATTATATTCTGATCCAAAAACGTAGTATGGATTTTATCCCTGTTAAGAAAGTATTTTTTGAAGGTTTTGATTGCAGAGTGCAAGCTCAATGTGTGTGCACAGTCCGCGCTGCCGATTGCATAGGCTCCGCATGAGCAGCTGTGTCGTACGAGTAGAAACACAGTGCGACTATGGCTGAGGAGTGCCTCTTCGATCAAAGACGAAGAGTGGTCGGAGGTTGTGGTTGAGTTTCAGATGTCGGGGACTCAGCATCAAGATCAGTAAGGGAATCTGTGATCATAGGCTCAATAGTAGTTGAAGGATCCAAGCATGCCTATGTGATCAAATAGGAAACTTGAGAGCTCTCAACGGAAAGATAACTAACTGCCGCCGTCTCATGAAATTTGAGCCATCAAAGTGATCGAAACGAACGGGATCTTTGATCATGAACTTGATCGCGTTTAACATGATCTTGTTTGCCATGAACTAATACCTTGAAATTGTAGGCTACAGGTCTATAAAGCAAAGTTACGAAGGATTTGGGGCTTAAATTGCCTTTAAGCAAACTTATCAAAGGCCAGAAACCACACTTGCATATTAACCGCAAACAAAAATCGTGGCCACTATTGAACCATGACCAAAGATCGAAATGGCAATCGTGTTCGCTTATAGATGCAGTAGAGTTGATGTTGGCTTATCCGGAATCGGAGAGAGATGTTTCCAGCCAAGCTGTTTCGAAAACAAATGAATATTTTCTTTACCACAAGAAAAGACACAGAGACACTCTGCAAATGACCATTTGTGTCAAAATTTAAGACGATGGCAATGCTGAACTTTGGGACTCACTTATACGGAAGTCACTGAATCTCCCTTGATAGCTCTGAAGTTTTCGACCTAACAAAGGTAAGAAATCAATTTCTTAACCACGTTTACAGGAATGTTGCAGTGGAGAAAGGTGCAGTAAAGTGAAGCTTCACCGAGTGCACGCTTCGCGCATATATGCTTAGCCAACAAAGCTACCTCCGGATCTCCAGACCCCAGCGTCTCCGCAAATTAAATATCGAATAACAGGTTTTAGACTTAAGTTTTTGAAAACAATTTTAGTTGTGCTTGAACTCTTGATCCTGAGGTACAGGATGTTTTCATCGTCTTCAAGGTTTTCATCGTCCTACCCTCAATAGCTTCGAGATGCAATCGAGTTCATTCGAGTATACCTCCCCGATACAATTAACCCTAGAAAAGCACTTGGTAAGGTTTTTTTCTTCTTTTTCTCTTGTTTATTTATTTTTTTATTTTTATTTTTTTTGAGAGCTGTACTCTCTTAGAATCTTGTGAAGATCACAAAGGGTCAAACGAGTCGGGTCTAGTCGTAAGTTCAAGGTCGAACGTGGATGGGTTCAAATGACCTTGACCCTGACCCGAACCATCGGGTTGGATACGGTACAAGTGAAAATATACAAATTTAAAAATATTATATATGTTTTTTTACTACAAAATATATGTTTAAAAATAGGAAAAATTACATAAATATCTATTTGATTTTCCGTTATTACTAAAATACCTAAAACTTTTCGTTGTTACTTATATGTCCGTTTCAATGATTTAAAAAAAAAGAAGACTAAATTGCCCATTTTCGGTTTTTAAAAAATCGAAATAAGCCCAAATTTGGTTTTTGAACAATCGAATATCAGGTCCTACATCACATGCAAGTTTCCACAATCTCTCTCTTATGTTTCATCGTTGATTTTAGGGTTTTGGAAAACCCAATATCAGGGCAACAAAATGACGCAATTTTTTGCAAGTTTCCTTTGTGGTGACACTTAGATCAGGCCATTGGAAGGGTAACGTTTATCAGAGCTGGTTTGGTTGATGGCGAACTAGATGGTTGTATCCAGCGTTTAAAAAATCGTCGAGTCGAACTGGACTCGTCCGGTTCGACTCAGAATTCACGAAAAAGGTACCGGATCGGTTCAAAAACCGGGAATCGTCCGGTTCTAGAGAGAACCGGACGATTCCGCACAGTGACTCGCCGATTCACTGTGCGGAATCGGCGAGTCCGTGAAGAACACGGGTTGCACAGTGTTCTTTACGGATTTTTTC